GAGAGAGAGAGAGAGCACGTGCGTTTAAGAACATCACTTTATAAAGTGGATATTGTCGGCCTGTCGGCCTTTCGAAAGATTTCACATGTTGACTGTTAGAGATAATGACAACAAAATTATGGACATCGAACCCTCGATAGTTTTATATAGCAAACATATAATAATACATTATTAAAGTACGCTTTGCAACTAATATCTTGACTGCAACTCGTCAAATTAAATTGCAAGTTTGTTGATATAATGACGATATAATTTTAAATAAATATTTATAGTATTTTTTATTATACATATATACAGTGTCTCAATTTTTGGCAAACAATTCTAATCTAAATAATTTCAATAGACTTCGCTTACCAATTTTTTTGATATTGTGCTTTTATCGATATATATGAGGAAGAATATTGAGAAAATATAGTTGTACATCGCAAGCAGAGAAACGTGACTTTCATTGGCGTCACTTAAACGATGCAGAGCAAGAGCCCTCAAAATATATTATCGTGCTGTATTGCACAATATTAAATAATGTTGTATAATTATATAACCGCGCGTTATATAATGCGATGACAATTATCTCGAGCTGCGCTTTTCGAAATGCCACTGAACACATCTACCGAGGTGCCTTTTCAAGGGAACGATCTTGCCGAGAAACGTCGCGTTATGATAATGCGGCAGAAGATGCGCCTCGCTCATGCTAAGCGCGAATATGAATTATGAGAGAGAGAATCGAACTGTTCCGACGCGATAAATCACGCGGAGGGACTGCGATAAAACCTCTCTCGCGTAATCCTCGTGGAAGATTCGAGCTTCTCGGGGTCAATTGCCGAGCCGTAGTCGTGACGACGACTGTTCGTTCATGGTCAATCGCAGATTAAGAGTTACCTTGCTTAATCGATTGTAGAGCGTAGGGGCGGATTTTAGCATGGCCTCAAAAGCCCAATCGTAGGAGATGTTCTGTCCCGAGCGACCTTTCACGCTCCTTCGATTATGAAATCGAAATTGAGCGATATTCAGTGATCATAGCGCGGCTAAGCGAAGCTTCGCAAAGATGAATCGCGTAATTGTAAATCATCACTTATTGTTCGAATACAGAAACGTTTTACATATCCAATGTCTTTCTTAATCTTAATATGAAATTATTGATTGGTCAAAATTAAATATTATATTTTACATTTCGTAAATTTAATATAATACACGACAGTGATAATATGTTTAAATTGCAAGACTACTTAAAGTAAACTACTTAAAGTAGTTAGTGTAATACTTGGGAATAAGTGAAGAAAATCTTAAATTTTTGTACAGTAACATGATTTTTTGATTAAAAATATTTTAATTAAAAATATTACTGTACAAAAATTGAGATTCTTTTTATTACTGTGTGAAATTTTCTTGCGCGGTTGCCTCACAATTTATGCGATTAATAGAATTCTCGTTCTCGTGCACAGGTCTCGTGACGGCGGTCTTGTGCATCATTCAGCAGAGTCTTGAACATGAAATTCCTAGGAGGAGTTTCCTGTCACGCAGAGCGATCGATGGAACTAGAGGAAGGTACTCGTTAAGAAATATCTTCCACACGTGAATTCGATTATGCGACTTAATTAAACCGTTTGTCCTTGCAGGAAATACTTCGACCCGAACGAGGACGGCGCATTCGACAGTTATGGATCCGCGGGAGGTCAATACGATCCGTACGATCATATAACGGGTGAGCTATTTGTCGTCTGTTCGATTCGTAATATTTTTAAATTTTACGAATCTAGCAATTTTTAAAACCTTAGACATCTTTCTCTCATATAACTTTCATAATTTTGTAACTTTGAAGAAATGTTATTTCTGCATGTCTGCATCTTCTTCAATTGAATTCCTTTCTTTTGTAACTATCTTCTGACAGTCTCTCATAGTTTCAACTAAAATAAATACCGCCTTATTCATTTATGCATTACGTAATTATCTTTCCCTTGCATCCGCGACGTGCGGATTCTCGTTGCGCGGGGCGGTTAACTTTCAATTAAACCTACGCGACGAAAGGAAAATCGATGTCGCGGTGATAATTACAAGAAGCTTGTCGATGTCGTAGCTGGCAATTTTATGGAAATCATAACTCGAAACTTTTTGCTACCGTAAAATTATTTCGCGTTTCAGAGAGAGATAGTGGAAATGTCTCGTTAGCTGTCGCTGTAAATACAAATAAACACGTGTGAACAGCTATTAATTCGCGTCGTTCCCAACGAACCGTCACTCGCGTGAAAGGCGCTACGACGTTTATATATAAAAAACTATAGGTCATGAAAAACTTTACTGATTATACGGATGCAGCAAATTATGAGAAGTTATCTGTGTGAGCACGCGCGATAACTGCGAAGATTTAAATATCACAGATACAACGCGATCATCGCGGCCTATTTTCTGCGACCTTGCGATCAGCATCCGACGATGGACGAGACTCGATACACGTGTTTAACGACACGTTTTTTCCTTTGTAATTGATTATAGCAATTAAGTCTTCAAATTCATTTATATACCTTCAAATTTCAATGTGATGATTATCGACGAACGAAAGATATTAAAATACTTGCTTGACTTTTATATACTTTTATTTAAATTTATCAATTTATAAAGAACACAAAATGTCAAAGAATGATTCGTTAAAATTGTGCGGATCTTTTGATTTTATAAAGATAGTGAAAATATCAGGATATTCATTTTTAGATAGCTCATCCAATTAAAAATAGTTCTTAAATGGCATATTCGATTTGCTATATGATAATGGATCTGCTACTTTTCACTTTTTCTTTCGTTTTCAGATTTATCTGACATCAGAAAAAATGTCCCAGGTGAGCCAGGCATCGATTATCCCGCCTACACGACATTACCTCAGACAGGATTCACGTGTGAAGGACGTTCACGTGGTAAATATACATGAATAAATTGTATAGCCAATTCATAGTTGTATGCTATTTCGCTTATTATTATGCATTATGACATCTATAATTTTATTAAACGTAGCGTTTCTATTCTGCGTACATGAAATCATCGTTTCTTTCTTTATTTCGAGAAAAATGCAAAATTCCCAGTTCACATTACGTAATATATATATTTGATATATTTTTTAAACTTATCACAAAATTAATTCCGAAAAATGATTGATATTAAAGAAAAATAAATAATGCGATAACTTAAAAAATGCAGTCTAAGTAAATAATTGTATATATAGATGTCTGATTGAAACTAGCGATCAATAATTATATGTTCGACGTATGTATGACATATTTCGAATATCATATAAATTTAGAATGACGAAATTGCTCGATTAGAAAAAGAATGCAGAAGAGATCAATTAAGCAGTACCACAGAGAAGAGGGAATTCAAAAACTGAAATTTTTGCACAAAATTGCAATAAACATGATGTATACATTCTGTGATCTGATGTTGTTGAAACTCAGTGTTTCAGACGCTGACCGCAGATGTTAGATAATTCACAGAGAGAAAGATGAAGTACATAAAAAGAACACTGCACACCAATACAATTAGAATTATTACATAAACGCTACGAACTGTATGTGTTTATTATATTATACATAATAAATTTCTAATCCTCGCGTGAGAAAATTTATAAAACCTTTATCGTATAATCATAATTTAAGTACCATTTGCTTATCTATTTATTACAATTCATTTTTAATATTACAAAAAATATTGAATATTATATTTGTCCTGTTTAATGTTTGAAAAAACGTGCTTGCAATTTTGCTTCTAAATTGTTTTTACATGATCATATACATCTCGCAAAAATTATTTGTTCAAAAATATTTATTAAGTTATTTAGTTATTTATATTAATAATAATATTAAAAATATTAAAGGACACGGATAATCGGCTTGTCAAGTTCACGCACAGCAAAGCTCGAAAAGCGACGAAATATTCGTAATTATTTATAAAAAAAGATAATTTTATTGTTGTCGATTTTATAATAATATTTTAAAATGTACAATTCCTTTAATTTTTAAGAAATTATATTACGACAATTCGTGATATAATTTTTTAATGATTTTTAATAGAATATTATAAACATATGTTATTCTCTAAATGCCAAGGAATGTGAACAAGAATTATAATTCAAAGATCCGTTTGCGTGATTGCCCAACAGGTTACTATGCCGACGAAGCGGCTGGCTGTCAGGTTTTCCACGTGTGTCATGACGTGTTGGTGTCCTCCTTTTTGTGCCCGATCGGCTCAACTTTCAGTCAGAAGCTGCTGACATGCGATTGGTGGACCAAGGTGGACTGTGCCTCCACTAGAAGATATCTCGAAGTAAACCGCAATAATTATCAAATTGACGACGATGAGATGATCCGCAACGCATACGCGATGATCAGTCTACAGACCTCTGCGGAGGATGTCACCAAGGACGGTCTGGTGGACCCCGACAGCGGTGCCAGAATCATTGACTATTCCGCCCTCGGTGGCAGGATCGTGATGGGCTACACGCCCGGATTCCGCAGAATCACGAATTATGCCGCGGTCGAAACGACCGGGAACGATCTGCCGAGTGGATTCGAGGATTATCCTCATCAAGACGCGCGACAAATTCTCAACTATGATCTTCATTATCCGCAGAAGAAGACGAGTACTGCGTATCAAAGCAAACTTCGCCTTGAAAACAAAGGGCGATCACCTTATCACGCGTCCCCTATCATTCGACATGATTATCAGGATCGACCCGGCGATAATGTGTTCCAGAACCACTATCGCAGACCCGATGGATTCACTGATCGGTTACAGGCATCCTACGCACCTACTGTTCCCACCGTTACCACTACCACTAGAAGATTGTACTCGCCTACGGTTCCGACGACCTATCGACCTTCCACCTTGGCCTATAGCAAACTGGATCTGATGGTAGATAGCTCCGATCACCTTTACGCGCAAAGCAAAAGCCTGGTGACCTCACCTACGATTATTCATCAAGATGATGACATGAGAAAGATTGATTTGAGAGAGAGTGAAACGGGACACGGCGGCCTGAAGAAATCGGAGAACGTCTCGTCATCGCGAACGGATAAAAACGATCAGGAAGGCGACAATGCACGCTCCAAGAATGACAAAGTGCATCTTGATGTCGAGGAGACGTCAGAAACGAGTTTCAGGATCAACGTAACTGACGCGATTGACGAAGACGAAGTATTTAGGGAGCAGAATGACAGGCCAATAATCCAAAGTGATAGCGAAGATAGCTCGGAAGTTATTGAAGTAGAAGATAGCATCGGAATTGCTCGAGCATTAAATAATCCACCGGATAGAATTATTGTTCAGAGTCAAAATCCTATACATCAGGTGTCAAAGGATAAGCGAAAAGATTTGGCCGAGCCTATCTCGTCGCAGACAGTTTTCAATCATTCCTCGGGATCTTACGAGAAAGCAGGTGATGTGAATTCAGCGGATATTCTGAAGAAGTCAGAAGCCTTCAATGAGACGAGCAATGATCGTTCAACGGAAGATTATGAGGATATCTCGAGCTCGACAACGAGAAGTTTTGGTGACAGGACAACTCCGTTGCTAAGAAATTGGCAACAAAAGAATGCTGATGACGTGCAAGCGTCGATGGTATCGATGACTACGATACTTGTAATAAATACTACTAGTGATGAGATTTCTGAAAAAATTACTGTTCGTTCTTCATCTAACGACAGCTATACAGCTATGGACCAGAACTCATCGCCAACCGGTTCGATCTCCAGCTTCAACGACGAAGCTGTGCCGAGACTAAAGCTTAGCTTCGAAGTTCCTCAACCAGCACAATTTTTAAAGCCTCCGCTAGAACCTTTTCTCATTAACGTCCTTGAAGGAACGCGCTATACAACGATCGACGAAAATTCCAAGATTTCTTGGAGTCCTACTACAACGACCACGGAGATTCCACAATTTACCAGTACACTTCCCAAAACTAATGAGGATCAGTCGTCGATCTACGACGAGAACGTTGAAGAACAGTCGTTGATTGATTACGCAGACGAAAATATCACGCCTAGCTTAGGTGTTCACTCGACTGCTCCGATAGTCACTGAAGCATCCACGTCCATTCCATGGCTGATTTCTACGTGGCATGATCGAACAATCGTTGATGTTCCCGTGACCGATATCGTTCCGCCAATTGTGGACTACAATGATGGTTTCGGTGACTTCGTTCCGCCGGATGAACGTCCATACACAGAGCAATTCGATCATACCGAACCTGCGGATTCGCGAAGAACGCAAAGTTCTTCGACAACCTTGAAGAACAACGACAGCGAAACGGAATTCTTGGCCCGGTTTAACACGGGATTTCAATTCACTATCAGGGATGCCATCAAGACTCAAGAGAAATTGAAAGGAAATTCCAAATCATCCTGCCATTCTTCAAGCTCTGATAAACAAGAGGGACGCTGCGAGACAAGTTCTGCCACTCCCAAAATTACAGTTTCTCCATCGAGTGTAAAAGACAGGATTGTTTCGATTAATACGAAAGTGACTACGAAGATCCCAGAACAATCGACTTTTTCAAGTAGCACAAAGAGTCTGAGATCATCGGAAGAATCGATGACACCTCTTCCTAAAGAATATCAAACTTCTACTGAAATTTCTGTGAAATCTTCGATTACTAGTAACGTTAATAGTAATGTAAATAGTAACGATACAGAAGAATTAAAGACAGTTACGCCGAGAGATGGTTACAGGTTACAAATCCTAAAGATGAGGTGGAAAAGACAGTGGAAACGACAGCAAATAGTCTATTGCATTCGAACCGTCCAGAATCTTTAAAACAGATCGAGGAAGCAATTGATAAACATGATTCTCCATATGAAGTATCCTTTACGGTGAAAAAAGATGATCTAGAGACGACCGCGGACGATTTTATCAGCCGGTTGATTGCTCGACACCAACAATCTTCCTTTTTGAACGACGAACTCGGTGATTTCGAAATTATCAAGTCTGTGGAACCAGAAACAGAAGTCGCTAGTATTTTGCAGACACCGAAATTTCCCGACACTAGTCGCACTTCTCTAAACGATTCAAATAACAACAGTTTCCAAACTGTCGATAAGGATACGGTTAATCAAAATAAGCAATCAGACTCAAACGTGAGCATGGTGGGTCTTCTCCAACTGATGGCGGAGTTGTTGAAATTAGATCGACTGCCGCGACCGTTTTCAACGAAAGACTTAAGGAGCATAGAATTGAAGGATTCGTTTAATCTGGACCTCGATAAACCGTCGTACGTTACAACGAATTCACGATTGGATCATTTGCAAGATAGAACGCCGTACAAGAACGAGAATTTCAAGGTACCTACCTTCGATACGTTCAAGACACCCGCTACGTTCGCTGAATCAAAAACGTCACGAAACCTACGTCTCGATGAATCATCAATCACTACAGCGAGTCCATTGTCGGATCACTTACAAGCCGGAACGCCGTTTGGAACTGAAGATTCCGAGATATCTTCTCTAGATGATACTTCGAAAATCTCTATTGATCTTGATTTCAAACCGCCTCCTGATGTTTCATCGAGAGTCAACTTTAACGATACAGCGGAACAAAAGACGAGTCAATCGAAATCGAAAAGCGGGATTGCTCGACCGCTTCAAAAGAAGGAAATTTTGGAACAATTGACCGAAAATCTTGGGCAGCCTCTTTACCGTGATGATTCGATTCGTAGACTGCCCGTCTTTGATCTGCCGCAGGTGCAGAGGAGTTTGGATTTCGAGTCCGGTTTACCGATAGAAGACAGCAAACATGCCACCGAAGAAGGAAACGAAACTAGAGAACAAAGCGAAATTGAAGAAGAAAGCGAAACTGAAGAAGAAAGCGAAACTGAAGAAGAAAGCGCAAATGAAGAAGAAAATTTCAAATTTGTTACAACGACGCAAAAAACGACTACAACGACTACAACGGAATCCACGAAGACTATCGTGGAGACCGAATTCGTTCCTTCTCTAGGATTTTCCCTCGATACTGACGAAGGTCGCGAGGAATATGTACAAGCAGTTCTTGAAGGATTGATCGACGACCATACTGTTGAAAGTGCTAAAAACGAAACCAACATCGTTCAAGACAGAGTTCTCAAAAACGAGACTTTGGAAGCTGAGCAATGAGAATTCAAAAGATATTTAAGTGATCTCGGAAAAATATGAAATATTATGAACTTTTGAAAGTCCCTGGGATGTCTTTGTGAGGATCATTTTTCCAACATTGATCAATTATAATGACGATCTTCTTGATGTTGATCGATATAAACCGTTAAGCTCAATTTTGTGTTATAAAAAAAAAACGAAAATTAATAAAATAAAACTTGTTTATACATATTTAAATATAGAGTTTATAGAGCCTCGGAAATAAATGTTACGTTATTTTTCAAATAAATAGTTGTAGACATGCAATAACCTTTCGTGCGTATATTAATCATTAATCATTTAATTCATAAAAAGGTCGTATAAGACTTTAAGCATTGACGCTTTCCCCGAAGTTGATTAGTTTTTTCGCTTTGCTCACTTCATATTAGCGAAGCATAATTATTGTCAAATATTAATATTATTACTTATGTGAGATTTTAGTGACGAAGTTACATAATATAAGATGTAAATATTTTATATAAAAATATATAATATTAAAAAATAAATGACGCGCGTGAAGCGTGCGCTTTGTGTAATGCAATAAAAATAACAAATAAAAAATAAATAATAACTTCATGTTCTAGCACGTTTTTTTTAAAGTACAAAAATTGATAAATTTGTAGAAGCCCTCCACCACCTCCGCTAATTTTAAATGGCGGTCCTCTTTTCTTTATATGTACATTAAAAATTTTTTTATATTTATTATTTTTATATATTATAATTTAACATTAAAAAATATAATAACAACTTAAATATGGAAGTACATATAAAATATATTTTACATAAATTTTTAACATATTATAACAAAATAAAATTCGATAAAAATACAAGTTTAATAAGAAAAGTTTAATAAGAAAGAAAAATATAATATACTCATAGTCTCATTATACTATAATTCTTTACATAATATAATGCTTTTTACATATATTAAATACCAAATTTTATAAAATATATTTTATTCTAAATCGCAGAAATATATAAAAATAATTAATTCACTCACCAATTCTGCCAGTAATTAATTCACTCACCAATTCTCAGCCAAATTTCAGCTTCCCATTGAAATTCCAGTGACCGCTTTTCTTCTCGAACCACATACACATACACGATCGCCCGACATTTTATTCGGCACTCCCGATATTACAGGAATAATGCGAGCCACAGGCGCGAGAGAATTCAACTTGTCGTAACGCAACAGATACTAAAGTTGTATTAAGTAGCAATTTATAAACGAACGAGATAATATTTATTCACTATATTATTATTTACGCAATAGAACAATCCGTCCGTTTCCACATTCGGCAGTTTAGACACCGTATCTGCGTGCAATTTGAATTTCGGAAACGCAAAAAATCTGGAGCGTTCAATTCGAAGCATAGCGCGAATAAATATGGCACAACAAGAAGACCGCGATACGCCAGCAGTATCGAGAATACGCGCGCGAAAATATGCACGCGAAATTTCATTTTGTTAAGTACGCGACTGTCGCATTTCATGAATTAATACGATTCTCTTTGTATATTATACAGCCATTTATGTAACAAAATAATTACCTATTTCTACATTCGGCACTCTAGACATCGTATTTACGTTCAATGTAAATTTTGAAAACGCGAGAAATACAACGCGTCCGATCCAAAACACTGTGTGAATAAATATAACGCCGCAAGACTATGCGTAGTACGATACGCCGCCGCGCCGGCACGTGACGTCATGTGAACTCGGCGTAGTAAAAACAACAAGAACTGTTTGAATTACCGCATGCGTAAATATGTACATAAAATTAAAACGAAAAATCTCAATTCGATTTGAAAATTTCATATCTAATGAATGAATTAATATTGTACGATACTACATCATGTTTTTTTCGATATTCTCGTTGTATTACTGTGCGAGTAACACATTTTGGTTGCATTCCGATATTCACTGCCAGTACTAAAAATCTCTCAATATACGTGATCTACTATATATTTTCAGTACTGGCAGTGAATATCGGAACGTAGCCTTTGTTCGAACGAATATGCGCGCCAGATTTCATTCTGTTACGATATAATAAGAACGCGATCGTCGCGTTTCATGAATTAATATGATTCTCTTTATATATTATACAGTCATTTATGTAATAAAATAATTACGCATTCCCACATTTGGCACTCTAGACATCGTATTCGTGTATAATTCGAATTTCGGAAACGCGAGAAATACGGAGCGTCCGATCCAGAGTACGGCGCGAACAAATATGGCGCGGCAAGAAGACCGTGCGTAGCATGAAATGCCGCCGCGCCGGCGCGTGACGTCATGTGAACTGACGTATAAGAACGACATATTTTTTTGGCTCTTAAATTAAATTTACAATTTCTTATTATCACTATAATAAGATATCAATGAGATATTTCAATTTCATTTATATTGTTTTCAATTATTTAAATATAAAATTATTTTTAGTATTTTTAATACAATTTATTTACATCACATAATATACTATTTTTATAATTTTATAGTTGAGCCAATAAATTTACATATTTAGATAAAACATCAAAATATTGTAACATAAATTAATTCATTTTTAAAAGTGAGCTTTGACAAACATTGAACATATTTCATAGAACGGTATTTTGCATATATAAAGAACAGTGTGTATATGTAACAATGTATGTTACATTCAGTATGTAAGTACAGAAAGATATAGATGTAATATAATAAATATTTTGTTGTTTGTCTAACCCCAGAATCATATATATTATAATTCTTTTTAGGTAAATCTATCTTGTAATCTATCTTGTGAATTATATTAGACAATGTGAATTGTATTGTATAATCAATAAATCCCCCCCCCCCTGTACATACATCTATATGGAAAAGTTGTTTATTCACCATGACAACACGACGACGTTATTGCGTCATGTACTCACCGTGCAGTATTTTTCAAAGACGAGTCAATCATGTTGAAAAGCATTACTGAAGAATAGTTATCCACATAATAATTCTTTTACCTCCAATTAGTTATAATCGTAAGTAAAACAATATCAACTTTATCAAATTATATTTTGAAACATTATCTATGTAAAACATGGAAAAAGCAAACGTGAAGTACGATTCTGTTATTTCGAAGTGAGAGATAAGGTTATTATACATTTTAACATGATTTATTCTTAAAGAATTAATAAAATGTTAAAGGAAATTAATTAAATGTAGGAATTTTAGAATTTATTCATAATTTACGTAAATATGGAAGAAAGTATTAATGAAAATGATGAAAAGAAGGAAGAAGATGAATGGGAAAGTGATATAGATCATGATATATCACATATGGACTATCGGTATGTATATTGTTAATTGATAAAATAGTATTAATATTTGTTATCGATATAAAGCTTGTTATCGATTTATTAAAATGGTATTTTATCTAAACAGAATAAGATGGATTTGCGATCGAGTTTTGAAGTTTCTCAGACTGACAGATCAGGAGCATCTTTTCAATAAACTTATTAATGTAATTAATCTTTGTCGAATCTTGTACTTATTTAAAAAAAATAATTAAGATTAATATTTATTATTTTTAATTATTAGGCGAATAATCGATATTTTGAGGACAAATTGTTTAACTTTCTCATACTAGACTTGTATGGCGAGACAGATCTAGAAAAGAAGCTGATTTTTTTCTATAAAACTTATATCAGTGAAGTATTTGAGGAGGAAGTCTCAGTATGGGAAGAAAGTAAGACAAAATGTATTTTTATAGAGAGAAAGTATATTGGATTTATCAGACATTCCTTTGATGATAAAATTAATGATTTTTAAAATTGCACAATATCTAAAAAATAGCATTACATGTATAATATTTCCCATAATTGAACATTTTAAATATGATTTAATATAAATTAACTAGCATCATAATATTAATTTCTTATTTTTCCTATTTTCATACATAAATTTTAAAATACAAGTAATTTCTTAAAATTAATATATTTTTCATGATATTTTCATGAATGTTATTCAGAAAAGATAAATGTAAATAGCAACATTTTTGATAACTAGGAAAAGAAAAACGCGACGATGACGACAAGAAGAAAGATAAAAAACCCATAAAGAAAAGAAGGGGTAAAGCTAAAGGCAGCAAAGTAGATACTACTCCAATTGTTAATCATACGGCAATGAGTACTAACACATTGCATACTCCCAGTATACAATCTAGTGAAGAGGAAGAAGAGGACGAAGATGGTGGAGAGGAGGATGGCAGTGGTGATTTTTATACTAGAAAAAAGAGAGATTTTAAAAGCTCACTTACTGGTCAGCTACATTTTATAATTTTATACAGATTTCATTCACTTTAAAACTATTCATCATAGTAGCAATAATAGCAAATAATCACAGTAGAAATAATTAATTTTTTTAGACAGTTTCATTATTGCACCACCGCCTGGAGAAGAGGATAAATATGTTCTGACTAAGGTTATTTCGTTAAACAATGCGTAAATTAATATAACAATATCTACGGTTTTTGTTATTATTTGAAATGATTAATTCTGCACGTAAGAATACAAATTAACTTTTTGCTAAGAAAAGAGAAATCTAATCTTGGCTAATCATTAGCTTTTGGTTTAATTTCACTGTTGGTGGTTAATTTTAATTTAATTGATTCGTTATCTTTCTCTTCAGTTATTAGTTTTAGAAGTTTTAGAAAAGCGATTTGAACCGCGTACCGATTGAGTAATCGATTGTGAACAATGTGATCTATGGCGATTGCAGAAAATGGTAGAGAAAGTCCGTCAGGTACCGGTGCTTCACATGATATGTGGTCAAATAGACAGCAGTAGAACCGATCTACAGGACGTCACGTTCTTCTATTTTATGCGCACGAGCGATGAGGGTATACCTTCCTTCGATACTTACGAAGAGTGCCTCAATGAAATTACGAATTACATAGTGGTTGGCTCGCTTAATAGCAACTTCTTGGCCTCTTTAAATAGAATATTAGTCAACGTAAGCTCTGTTCAATGTAATTGGAGTCATTTTAGTAACGGTTTTTTCACTGGTTATTATATTAATGTTAATCTTTTAGAAACTGCAACTTATCCTAGCAAACTATAATGCTGTGCATTTAAAGCTATCGTTTTTTATACGTCATCGGCATTGTAAATTAAAAAATTTTTTTATATACATTTTTTGTATATATTAATTGAGGGAATATAAAAATTATTTTTATCTTAACACAAAAAAAAAATTAAGCAAATACTATACTACATATCTTAATGTTATAAAATTAAGAATTATTAATATGTTGTGTTAGATAAACACTTTATTTAAAATTAATATATAACAATAATACGTAAAAAATGAAATATTAGGTATTTAAACCATTAGTGGAAAATCAATTTAGAAGGCCGGATACTCGTGGGCATTTCCAAACGAAGAAAATAGATAATGAAAAACGAAAAAAGATAGACGTAGAAACAGTGAGTACTGAGAGAAAATAATATATGCATAATTATTCAACATTTGGATAAAAATAAAATATTACCTATTTTAAAAATTGTAATAAAAAAATCACATAAGACACGCACATAAATATAATTTAGCATAATTCAGATCAATAATAAAAAAATAAATTTCAATATTTTTATTTTTTATTAAAGGAATCATTGATGAGATCATCCCAGTTCGTAACAGGATCTACTTTAGTATCCAGACAGAATTTGGACACAAAAGGAAAGGGAGACAATGAAGAAACAATTTCCGTAACCACTTTACAGGATGAAGATTCAAAAAGTCAAAAATTAAAGTCTTTAAAAAGATTTGATAAGAGATCCGAACCGTCTGTTTCGGAATCCAAATCTAGCAAATCGGTTAGTTTAAAGGAAACAGAAAAACTACCAGTGAACGAACAGATCAAGAAAGATATTTTAGATTATCTAGACAAATTAATCGAAAAAACGGAGTGGTTAGTCTTATTTTTTTATATTAAAGATTAATAAATATTATATTTATTTTTAACAATGAATTTTTTCTTTTGTACTAATAGTTTTATTTTTGATTTTGATAATAGGACGTTGGAACATGTCGAAGGCGATATTTTGCTGACTATGCCGAAAATTCCAGAATTGAATGACCCTGCAATAACAGACGATATGTTATTAAAAAATAAGGATATCGTTGAACAAATGGAAGAAGTAGCTGTGTCGTGGGAAAAACATATACAAAAGGCTAGTAATTTACTATCTTTTTTTTTCGTATAATTATAATCTGGATTATAATATACATATGGTATCTTAAATTATCAATCTTAAAAATGTTGGATGAATATAACACATGTCAGTATTTAATATATATTGTAAATATAATTAAAATTATTTAATTGTAAAAATTGAGGACTTTTAATTGTTATCATATATTACAGCATTTTACTTTATTATTATTTAGATAATAGAATCGTACGAGAGCAAAACAGCTCCGGGGAAGGGGCCAATAGCGGAGTATCAATACTGGCAGGATTGCGAAACTGGATTAACAATATTGATTGAACAATTAAAATTGCCTGTCATTAAGAGGATTCTTACTCTTCTGGAACAAGCAGTCTCGCCAATCGCCTCCAGTTTCCATTATTATGAAACCGAACTTTGGAAGCACTATGCTGAAGCCAGAGATAATAATAAATTTATTCAAACTTTGCTAAGGTATTTCAAGGTAATTATAAAAATTTTAATAATTATTTATTTTAGTAATGTACGATATTAAAATTTGAGATAACTTTTCGATACATTATTGAATCAATTTGTGAAATATTTTAAAAAATATTTAAATATTTTTAGCTTTTGAGTTACAACAAATATTTGAAGCTTTTTGGAAAGCTTTTCGTGAATTACAATTTAAAAATAAAAATATAATAATATTATTTTTAAACGTTACATAAGTAAATAGTTATAAAATATAATGTGCAAAATAAATCCTTGCTGAAAAAGATTGAAAAATTTATGCAAATATTTTGATAATATTAATTATTTATTAATATCGCAGTTGATTACTGAGTCGGATTCATTTGAATCTATAACGGAATGCATTCCCTCACTGATGGAAGGATTACGAATGCTATGGGTGTTATCGAGTTATTATTGTCACGAAGAGAAGATAACGCTATTGATGGAACAGATATCATGGCAGCTCTGCGAGAATGTTAAACAAAATTTAGCGATCGTTTTGCTGTTTAAGAAACCTCTGGAAGAAATTCTGAAGAAGACAAGTGATGCCAACGCGATGCTAAAGCAGTGGAAACAATCGTATTTTAAGACCAGACTTGACATTGAACTGTCGGGGAAAGAAGCTCGCTGGGAATTTGATCAGAAGCGTCTTTTCCAGAACACGGAGTACATCGCCGAGGTGTGTAGCGATCTCCACAAGATTACCGGTGTCTTGCAAGACTTCTACAATATCTTTGGACCCGATCTGAAGTCCATCATAAATGATCCGGCGCAGATAGACACAGTGATAAAACGAGTAGACGCGCTGATAGTGCCGATTGAGGGGGCTGATTTTGACATTTTCAATGCGTTCAACAAGGAGAACTGGGAGGTATTGATGACGTGGTTCTACGAGCAAGTGATGTTCCTGGAAGATCAGGCCAAGTTCTACATCGATGAGTGCTTCACGGTGTTAATTAGTGCTGAGAATTCGCTGGAGATGTTGCTCAAGTTTAAGAATATGAAGACCCGTGCCGCGATTCAAAGCCAGTTACTCCGGAAGTTCGATGTCATCATGCAGCAGTTTAGCAAGGAGATCAATATTGTGGAAAACATATATCAACGTGGCAAGCGGAATCCACCGTTGTTGACGTATCATCCGCCGATGGCGGGAGCGATCTTCTGGGTGAAGCAGCTGTTCCACAGACTGCGCAAGCCAGTGCTGATTTTTCAAGAAGTGCGCGAGCTGAAGCACAGCCCGGTGAAACTCCTTGCGTTTAAACAGTACTACGATCTTGCGAAGCAACTGAAGGAATTCGAAGAAGCGAAATTCAATGCGTGGCTCGATAAGGCGCTGCTGACGGTGAATACCATCATGAAGAAGAGTGTGCTAAAAGTAGTTCGAGTAGAACGGGATCCTTCGGCCTTAATTTTCTTCGCTGAAGAGCAAGCCGCGAAGGATCTTCATTTGAAAACAAAGGGCAAAGATATGGGTTCCGTCCTGTCGATTCCACAGGAATCCTTGACGAAGGTAGATGGTATAATATCAAAATTCAGGGCGAAAATAAGTCCCGATGCCGCAGGATCTAGGGTTATTTCCATGCATCAATCACGTCCGGAATTTATGAGCGACACCATTTTGGAGGAGTGTCAGCTGCGCTTTCAAGTCAACTTCGATTGGGAAGTATTCGAGGTGATCAGAGAGGCAGAACTAATGGAGCAACTTGGTTTTGAATTACCCACGACTATCAGAGACATCGGTATTCAAAAAAATAGACTCAGAGCGGATATCGATGCCATCACGAAGATGATCGATCAGTATAACAACATTCTGGATACGTTGGACAGGGCAGATACACAACTGTTGAAGCAGACTTTGCAGGACGTTGAGAAGAACATTCAACCTGGATTGACGCGATTCAATTGGAATTCCCTAAGCATTTCGGATTATGCGGCCGCTTGTCATAGAATACTTAAAAATTTAAATTCCATCGTCGATCAAATCAATCAGATAAAGAAAGAGCTCGATAGTCGAATAGAATCTGAATTGCAATCATATCATCTGTTTTCTACGAAGATGGAAATCACTGAATCAGAAGATCTCTTGTCATGCAAGGTATTGCGTTATAAATTTTTATTTTTAATATAATTATATATTTAATATAAAACTATATTTTCTCTTGAAAAATATAATTAAATTCTAACACATTTCTTTTTAGATAATTGTTTTTAAGTGCAAAATTTTTATAAATAACAGATATTTTTAGTCTTATTGCAAATTGTTTTTTTAAAAAATAGCATTGTTTTAAATAAAATGTAACATCTAATTCTTTTTTTAGAGTTATTTTATAGAAATAAAAAATCAACGATCCGAACTAGTGTCATCGATGTTAAAGACTTATCATTCAATTAGTCCAATGCTTGTGAAATTAGAAAGTTTGGTATTAGGCACTTCTACTGGAGCAAGTCCAGCCATGCAGCTCTTATATGAAAAATATGAGAAGAAAATTTTTGCTGCCTTTATTATGTATGTCTCTTTTTTATTAATAAAAATTATAATACAATTAGAACAGAAAATGTTAATTTATTTTCTAGATGTATGGCAAGAAACATGGAAGTTTTAAATAAAATGTTAAACGGCACCAAGCCGATCTTTCAAGTAGACGCATTATTAATAACATCTGAAGTAATATTACGTCCGTCACCCAACGAGATCTATAACACCATTTGTCATGATATACGAGATCTACTTGAGAAACTTAAAGAATTTTCTAGGTGGATGAATGGAACTTGCTTAGAATGCAAACCACAAAAAAAAGAATTTTCAGAAGCTTTAGTTACTTTCAGTTTTTTCGAAGATGTGATGAGTATTCGAGTTGAGTAAAGTTTACGAATTTACATTTATTAAATTTTATAATAGTAATAAAATAATAATAAATAATAATTTGATATTAAACATGTTTAATTAAATTTATCTTGTAATATGTAAAAATGTAAGATATCAAATTATGGCAGATAATTAACGAATTGGTGAAAGTAGTTCAGGATACGGCATACAGAATCTCAACGGAATGCTGGCGATATCTACATAGGTGGAAAAAATATAGTAATTTATGGTCATTTGACAAAAATTCAGTTTGCGAGAAATTCGCGTCGACGAAACCTACACTTCTACAATACGATGAAAAGTTCACGTTTTATGAAAGCATTCTGGAAGACCTCGAAGATATGTCGCCTTATTTCGACATAAATAGTGTACGGTAAAGTAACATCAATAATTTAATATTTCGATTGTGTACAAATAAACAAATCTTATATATTTTTTAATGAGAAGAGTATTAGTAAAAATCTAAAATGCGTAATACATGAATTTATTTTTTCTTTCCAAAGGCTCAACTTGAAACCGCTTTTATCAAGCATCGAGAATCAAGCAAAGGAATGGAAGCAGGTTTTAGGGAATTATCTTCTGTCCGATACCGTGTTAGCTATGAGTCAATTGAAAACTCAAATCGACATTTTTCGCAGCGAAATTGAATTCGTGGTTACTGGATTGGATCGTTTCACGAGGGTCATGCAGGCGATCACCGACGTGAAAAACATGGCAATTCGAACTGAGGTGCAATATCTCGGTTATCAAGAATGTTTTCAAACTATGCGTACCCATGGAATTGTTTTTCCCCCGTCCGATGAAGAGATGGCATACAAATTACAACGCGACTGGGAGTCTTTGTATCTCGGAGCGCTCTACAGAATCTCAACCCTGGAAAGCACCAACGATAAATTTTCCGAAGTGACTAAAGATCAGATCGAGCAGTTTTTGGCTGAAATCGCGACATTCGCCGAAGATTTTGAGGCACACGGTCCCGGAAGCATCGGGGACGATTTGGAATTAGGACTAAAAAAAATGGATGTACGTAAAAATAAAGAAGATAAATTTTACAATTTATTCTTCTAGAAAAAGAAACAAATTGTCTGAAATTTAAACGTGTTTTAAATAATAAGAATAGGAGACTTCTTCATTTTTATTTCCAGGAATATGATAAGTTGATCAACAAGTACGAGGAAAGACGACTGAATCTGATAAAGTTAGAAGACTTGTTTAGCTTACCGTCTACCGACTATTCAACTCTCCTCAAGATCAAAATGGAATACGAGGACATGGAAGTGTTATACAATCTCTACAAGCAGCAGAGAAGCGCGCGAGAGATTTGGGCGAAGACTCTATGGGTGAACTTGAATCCTCAGCAGCTTATCGAGGGTATGGAACACTTCCTAAGAGAGTTCCGACTATTGCCAAAGTCTATCAAGAGTATGAATATCGGCCATGCACTGGAGACCAACATGAAGAATTTCAAAAACTCGGTGTCGCTCTTCATCGAACTGAAAAATGAGGCTATACGCGAGAGACATTGGCAAGATTTGATGAAAAGGACCGGACAATATTTTGATATAGACCCAGACAGGTGTGCGGACGATCAATAATTAAACGAGTGATAATTATGTGTGCGAGAGAAATGAATTTAATAGACTACAATTTACGAAAAGAATAATATAGAGACAATATATAAGCATAGAAGATAATTAAATTATTATTATGTATAAATTGCGATAACTCTGCGAACATTTTTTTGTATTTTTTTATTAAAATCTTTATTTTATCTGTATTATTTTATTCGTATGTAATTATATTAAGTACAATATTTACGAATTTAGAATATATTTTAATATATTTATTATATCATAAATATTAACATTAGAATATATATATAAATTACGTTTTAGAAGAATTATTATATGGAATCTACATATAATTTTCAGTTAAATGAATAAGTGTATATTGCATATTTTTTAATTTCTTTTTATTAAATATGTTTTTATATTTTTTTTATGTTTTTATAGATTATAGCGAGAGACATAATCGTTAACTAGTATAAACTCATTCAAGTGCAAGTAATTTGATATTTATCTTGTGAAAATATAATTAATTATACATAGACTCTTTAAGCAATATAAATATGGCGAAAGAAAAATCTTTTACCATAGAGGGGTAAGCTTCTCAATATTATTCATTTATTTTGAGTACATAAATATATAATAAATAATGGATTTTATTCCAGATTTACTTTAGAAAATATGTTTGCTATGGAGTTAGAAAAATATCAAGATATCGTACAAGACATTGTAATGACCGCTGTAAAAGAACTTGCAATAGAAAGAGGCGTGAAAGAATTAGCGGAAGTATGGAAGTCCATGGTACTCAATGTGGTAAAACATTACAAAGGTATTCATCCAAAACTTGAAGCTAATTAATAAATAAATACAAGAACAGATGAGATTTAAGCAGATAAGGATTTAATTATATATTTATTAATCATGAAAATAAAGGATTAATTTCTTCCAAGTAAAATGTAATCCTACGATTTCTGATTACATTCTTCAGGTACAGAAGATCGTGGCTTTATTCTTGGACCACTCGACGAATTGAATTCAGTACTCGAAGACAACATGCTGACCGTGCACAGTATGGCAGCTTCGCAATTTGTCGGACCATTCCTCAATGTCGTTCAAAAATGGGAACACACGATGCATACAATCTTCGAAGTTTTGGAGGTGTGGGTGGACTTTCAGCGAAAGTGGCTGTATCTCGAGGGCATCTTTATGGGCGGTGACATCCGTCTTCAGCTGCCAGACGAAACAAAAAGATTCGATAATGTCGATCAAGCCTACCGAAAAATCATGACAGATACATCGAAGAGGCTTAATGTCTTAGAATGTTGCATGATTTATGGTATTAAATAAAAAGTCGATCTGCATTTTAAATAAAATCAAAGAAATATATAAATATATTTCTTATAAAATATAAAAATGAATTATAAAAATGATAAATTAAAAAAACTAGAAAATGAATAAATTATGTTTTGAACGATTGTTTATCTGTTAATGATTTAGGTCGAAAGAACGAGTTTGAAGTCATGATAGCCGCCCTCGAGAAGTGTCAAAAATCTTTGACGGAATACTTGTATAATAAGCGCATTATGTTCCCGAGATTCAATTTTATTAGCGACGACGAACTGCTAAGCATTCTTGGCAATCCTATGGCAATTCAGGAACATGTAGGAAAAATGTTTGATAATCTCGATAAGTTCATATTGATATTAAGTGACACAGATAGATTGGTAGCTACGGCCCTTAAATCCTGCGAAGGAGAAATTATGGAATTCAAGAATCCCGTATCCACGGAAGATCAGGTCGAAATTTGGATGAATCTCGCTCTTGAGGAAATGAAAAGATCAAATCGATATTTGACAAAGAAAGCGGTTTACAATTACGGCAAGGTTTATATCAAATTATATCAAATTATTACATTTCATTTCTTATAAATATTGCTGTAATTCTTTATGCGTTAAGTTTTCTAATAAAAACAGAATTTTTTTTAGACGTATAATAATTGGTAAAAAATATTTTTGTTGATTTATTAAATTATATGTTATAATCTTCACAATTTAATATGTAACAAAAACAATAAAGCTACAGTTATAAATATAGGTGCGAAGACCAAGAACACAATGGATACTTGAGTTTCAAGGAATGATGGTTCTCACAGCTAATCAAATATGGTGGACTGCAGAAGTCGAGAATGTTTTTGACAAAATATCCAAAGGGAATAAACGCGCAATGAAAGAAGTAATGCACGCAGATTATGAATAATATTTGGTCACGTATTGTTTAAATAAAATATTTATTTTATTTATTTTAGTATTTACAACAACTCAATGATCAATTAGACGAAGTCGTGACATTGATGGGTACGGAAATGCTTACGAATAATGATAGGAAGAAGATTGACATGGTTTTAACTATTGACGTGCATATTCGTGACATTATTGAGAGCTTTGTTAGGGACAGCATTGTGGATCCTACGGAATTCGAATGGGAGAGCCAATTGAGGTTATTATTTTTTAATAGTTTTTATATAAACTGTAGATAAATTGTAGATATAAGACGATACAATTTCAATGATCTTAATAATTTTATAGAAAAAATACATAATATTTGAATAGAATTTTTATACTTTTTTAAAATTATTAATTTGATTTTATACTTATAGATTTTACTGGGTTCACGATCTGGACAATGTATGGATGAACCAATGTACAGGCACATTCGAATATGGTTATGAGTATATGGGTCTTAATGGTAGATTGGTTATTACCCCTTTGACGGATAGAATATATCTTACGATGACACAAGCCCTCTCGATGCACTTAGGTGGTGCACCGGCTGGTATGTGAAGCATATGCACCTGGTTATATTGCAATTTCGAATATGAATCAAGTACAAGTATAGCTTCTCTTGATTGATCGTGTGTGTGCGTGCGTGCGTGCGTGCGTGCGTGATAGTCACATGATAAATTAATGATAAATAAATTTAAAAACTATATTATAATCAGAAACATAAAAATACATTAAAAAGATTAAAATATTGTACGATTTGATGATATCGATGCAAATTTGATTTAATTTGCATTTGTTATAATTATTTAATGATTATTAATAATTTACATATAAGACAACTTACACATGAGTCTTCTTGATTTTTAACACTAAGGTCCCACTGGAACGGGAAAAACTGAAACAGTCAAAGATTTAGCAAAAGCTCTGGGGTTTTTATGTATCGTGACTAATTGTGGAGAGGGAATGGACTACATAACGATCGGAAAGACTCTGAGTGGTCTTGCTCAGTGTGGAGCATGGGGATGTTTTGATGAGTTCAATCGTATCGACAGATCTGTTCTCTCTGTTATCTCGACACAACTGCAGACTATACGTTCCGCGCTACAAGTTAAAGCTCAAAAATTCATGGTATCAATTCATCTTCACATAAACATTAAAACTAGAAAAACAAAGTATTAAAAATAACACAAGTCATTTACAACCATAATCATATAAGAAATTATTTATGAAATTAATATAAAATAATTTTAACAAAGAGAGAATATTTAGAAAAGCTCTCTAATTTGTCTTTAATCTGTGTTTAATATTATAGAGATTATTCAAATTATTTAATGCAGCAACTCAGATTATATTTTTTATATAATTTTTTTTTAATTTTACTCTTTTAAGCCTATGTTATTCTTGATTTTTAAAATATTAGTGATTAGTGATTAGCAATATATTAATTTTTTTGTTAATTTAATAAATATAAATAAATATTACATATAAATTTCTATTTGTACTACGTTATATATATCATATTTACTATTTTTCTATTATGATCTACAATGACAAAAATATTTTCCAAAAGTTTGAGGACCAAGATATTGTATTGGACTCGAAAGTAGGGATCTTCATCACTATGAATCCAGGATATGCCGGTCGTACGGAGTTACCGGAGTCAGTTAAAACCTTCTTTAGACCAGTGGTTTGCGTAGTGCCGGACAGCGAATTAATCTGCCAGATTAAGCTGTTCAGTGCCGGTTTCCTGACGGCAAAATTGCTCGCGAAGAAAATGACGGTTCTCTACAAGATGGCGAACGAGCAGCTGAGCAAGCAAATGCACTACGACTTTGGCTTACGAGCCCTCAAATCCGTGCTCAATATGGCCGGTCACCTGAAGAGAACTTCCGATGATTTACCTGAGAACGTTGTGCTGATGAGAGCTCTCAGAGATATGAACTTGTCTAAATTTATTTCTGACGACGTACCACTCTTCCTGGGTCTGATTCGGGATCTCTTCCCCGATTTGGATTGTCCCAAGGTGTCCTATCCAGATTTTAATGAAGCAATTGAAACGGTTTTAAAAGAACATGGCTATATCATTGTACCTGAGCAAGTAAATAGCATTTTTAAAATTATTCTAGCGCATCGCAATGTACATTTCTGTATTTGTATTTAACTATCTAAGTTGCAAAATTTCAGATTAAAATAGTGAGACAATAATAATGTATTTTTTGTTCATAGGTTGATAAAGTCATTCAATTATATGAAGTGATGATGACTAGACATTCGACAATGGTCATCGGTCCCACTGGTGGTGGTAAGACAGTGATCATCGAAACACTCTGCAGAGCACAGACACATCTTGGTAAACTCATCAAACTACACATTTTAAATCCTAAGGTAATTAATCATAAATATTAATTTATTTATTAATTTTTATAATAAAGTTATTTTTTTATACAATTATAATTTTGTTGAATTGATCAAGGCTTACACCGTCGTCGAATTATATGGAACGCTCGAACTTACGACACGCGAGTGGTCGGATGGGATTCTGAGTAATATCTTTCGCGAAATTAACCGACCATTGGATTCCGACAAGGATGAGCGAAGATACATACTTCTCGATGGTGATGTCGATGCGTTATGGATCGAAAACATGAACTCGGTAATGGATGACAATAAATTATTGACTCTGGCCAATCATGAAAGGATCAAACTACAGAATTATTGCAGCCTGCTCTTCGAGGTTTAATCAACTATTATACTGTAAAAAGCTCAATTTAAGTTTTAGAAAAATTAATTTAATATTTAGGTAAAAGAACATTTCAATCAATGTTTTTATGAAAAATAATAGCATAAACAATCTGACTGCGAATTGATAAATTAATTCTGAATTAAATTCTAAATTAATTAACTCTAAATTAATAATTTCTAAATCATGATAAAAACAGAAATACAAAATTAATAAATTTATTAAAAAAGTTGAAACATTCTCAAATTGCCTTTGTCACAAAGGTAGGTGACTTGCAATATGCTTCACCTGCGACAGTTTCAAGAGCAGGTATGGTCTATGTTGACCCGAAGAATCTGGGCTATCAACCATACTTGAACAAGTGGATAGAAGCCAAAAGTGAAGTTGATCAAGATTTTCTTCAGAGAATGTGCAAGAAATATGTGGTCAACTCACTTAAATTCATTACCGAAGGAATGTTAGGCCTTCAGGCAATCAAGCCACTTCGAACGATCATACCACAAACTGAACTCAATATGGTAACCATTAGATTGACTATCGATTTACGGACAGTTGTAATTATCGTGACGATTAAAATTTGCAAAAAATAAGAATAAAAGTTATATTTGCTTAATTAGATATCTTAAAATTTACTTTTTTAACCTGTTCATTCATTTTTCTATCGTATTTTATAGTATTTTCTAATATTTTGTGTAATATTTTCCTGAAGGTAACTCAGTTCTGCTATGTGTTCGAGGGTTTGCTATTCTTGCTGGAAGACAAGTTGGCAAGAAAAAAGTTAGAAGAAAAGGTCAGTGTGATGGTAACGAAAGAGGAACTCTGGGAAGCGATGTGTATTCAAGCATGCTATTGGTCGTTCGGTGCATCTATTCTAGATGAAGAACGGCCCAATTTTGATACATACATAAAGAATATATGTGGACGTATGCGAACGCGAGATACACCTGCTAAGTTAGCAACTGCTAGTAAGTTTAATAAAATTAAATATTTTAATAAAACATGATAAACGAACGAATGGCAAGAATTAATTTAGATTATCATTTATTTTAATATACTGATTTATATGTCACTTCTTTCATGTGGTCGTTAAATTAAAAAATAAAAATGCGCATTTGTTACGTCAGGATACATACCTGCATCTTTTCCGACCATGTATGATTACGTATTGGACGTCAAGAAAAAGAGTTGGATGGCGTTGAAATGGTTGGTACCACAGTATCTTCATGACAGAGAGAAGGACTTCTCGGACATTTTAGTACAGACAATCGATACGCTGCGTATCACGTGGTTCGTAAATCTCATGAACAATCTACAGAGACCTGTATTGTTAGTCGGAGAAACTGGCACGTCGAAAACGGCCATTATTCACGAATTTCTAAGGAATTTGAATCCTGAAAAATATGTAAGTAATATAAAAGCAAAATAAAATAAAAGATGAGTTTATTACTGATTACTATTAATTATTGCGTTTTTTTAAATAATTTTAAAATAATATAATACTTATAGAAAAAAAGTATAATATAAAATTCAAAAAATTTTATTAATTTTATTAATTTTATTAATTATTAATTTATTAATAATTTATTGTAATGTCGAGTAGGAACAGCTCTTAATTAACTTCTCCTCGAGAACCACCTCACTTGACGTACAAAAAAATATTGAATCAGCAGTGGAGAAAAGATCGAGAGATATATTTGGGGCACCACCTGGGAAGAAATTAATAATTTTTATCGACGATATGAATATGCCGATCGTGGATACTTACGGAACTCAACAGCCTATCGCGTTTCTTAAATTGCTGTTTGAGAGAGGTGGTTTTTACGATCATGGACGTAATTTAAATTGGAAATATATGAGAGATATTTGTGAGTATCTTGAACGTAACATTTTCTCTTTTTAGAAACGTAATTTTTTTAATGTACTACGTTAATAAAATTACAGGTTTTAATCACGTTAATACGTTTTGAATATATTTTTTACGTAGATTATTTAGCAGCCATGAGAGAACCCGGTGGCGGTAGAAATGAAGTCGATCCGCGATTTATTTCAATGTTCTCGATTTATAACGTAACTTTCCCATCGAATGAGACTCTCAATTACATTTATACGAGCATCTTGTCCGGTCATCTACAATCGTTTTCGGAGGCAGTTCAATCTATTGTAAGCGGACTCATACGATTGATGTTGGAACTTTACGAGGTAATTTCGTTATGCATTGCGGCATGGTTTCTTCAATTTGAAATGAATTATATATCAAGAATGTAATGCTATTCAGATAGTTAGGAAGAAACTATTACCAACACCGTCCAAATTTCACTACATTTTTAATATGCGAGATCTCTCAAGAATTATGGCTGGATTACTTCAGAGTTATCCTAACTTTTTCCCGGATGTAAAGCAATTTGTTAGGCTTTGGAGAAACGAGATTACCAGAGTTATATGCGATCGTCTCGTTAATGCGCAAGTAATATACTTCTTTCTTTCTTGAGAATTAAAGTTTCATCTTTGAACAGCTTCGCCGTTTCAGGATCAGAATTGGGTAATCGAACAACTGAATGAAAAGATACGGAATTATTGGGAGATAGAACCTGAAGTGGTTCAATATAGTTTAAGAGACCCGATGCTCTACGGTGATTTCAGAAATGCCTGTAACGAGGCTGAACCTAGATTTTACGAAGATTTGCTGGATTATGAAGCAGTTTACAGCTTATTTTTAGAGGTTTATTAAAAAACGTTATCTTTTTAAACTTTAAACGTTATCTTTTTATGTTATATCAATATTTAATTCTTAATACTACTCAATTAATGTCATCATTTCTACAATTAAGATGAAAATTAAAAGTATAAGTTTAAAAAAATTTTTTACATTGTTCACAGATTTTTGAAGAGTACAACGAGAAAAACAGGATTAAGCTGCATATGGTTCTCTTCAATGACGCACTTGAACATCTGACCAGAGTGCATCGTGCACTTCGGATGCATCGTGGCCACGTGCTGGTCATCGGTACTGGTGGCAGTGGCAAAAAATCTGTGATAAAGTTAGCATCCTTTGCCGCTGGTTATCAGGTCTTTCAGATTGCTCTAAGTCGCGGATATAATGAATCGTTCTTCCGCGAAGACATCAAGAATCTATACAATATGGTAGGCATAGAAAACAAGAAGGTTGTGTTTATGTTCACATCTACTCATATCAAGAATGAGAGTTTCCTTGAGCTGGTGAATAGCATGCTAACGACGGGCTTCGTACCGACTCTCTTCAACGATGAAGAGAAGGACATAATCGTCACTTCTTGCAGAGATGCAGCGATTAAAGCAGGTTTTGATGTCTCAAAGTGAGTCGACATAGTTCACATAATTCTTTTTCACTTTGTTCTTGAATTTTTCATCTTTAATTAAATACGAAATAAAAATATATTAGCTCGAAATAAGAATATATTAGTTTTTATTATGCATATCTTTGATTCTAGGAAGAGTGTCTGGTCGTATTTTATCAAAACGTGCATCGCGAATTTGCGAATAGCATTGGCAATGAGTCCATCGGGCGACGCTTTGCGGATACGGTGTCGTAATTACCCCGGTTTGATCAACAACACTACCATAGATTGGATGTTTCCGTGGCCACAGCAGGCTTTAGCGGCAGTGGCAAATGTTCTTCTCAGAGATGTAAGCAATCTTTCTAAGCAAAGTTTTATATGTTTACGTAATAAGTATCATTTTTTTAAAGGATAGCATAGTAAAGAAACGTTTAAATAGAAAATGAGGAATTCTTTTTTTTCCCAGAATCCAATTGTGCCGCAAGAATATAAGGAAACAATTGTAAAACATATCGTGTACGTCCATACATCTGTGTTGCAATACACTGTGAACTTTGCGAAGAAACTGAGGAGACGAAATTACGTCACGCCGAGACATTTCTTGGATTTTATCAATACTTATCTAAAACTACTCTTGGAAAAGAAAAATTTCATAAATTCGCGCTGCACCCGTCTTTCCGGAGGTAATTAATTTTCTTTTTTACATATATTTTTTATTTTATTAACAACATTTTATTAACAATGTATAATGTCAGTAAATTTAATAATATTTTATTAAATATTATCTCTTTTATGTCTCGCTTTTTTTCCATTTAAAAAAATCTTTCTAAGCAAAGTTTTATATGTTTACGTAATAAGTATAATTTTTTGAAAGGATTACAGAAGATTACGGAAGCCTCGGTAACCTTGACAGAGTTGAATAAAGCTTTAGACATGCAAATAATCAAAGTGAATGCTCAAACGAAAAGTTGCGAAAAGTTGCTCGCATCCATTGGTGAGAGCACAGACATAGTGATGGAGAAGAAGAATTTAAGCGAAGAAAAGAGGAAAGAAATCGAGGATAAGAAGAAAATAATTGCTAAGGAACAAAGAGAAGCTAAGCTGGTTTTAGCGGAGGCTCAACCGGCTCTCGATGCGGCCAAACAAGCATTGAGCGAACTTGATAAAGCAGATATTACTGAGATAAGGTTTATTATTTTGATTTAACTATTGTTATTTCTTTATCTATATATCATAAATTTGATGTATAAAATTATCTGTTCAAATTACCTTTCTAAGACATATTTATCAAAATATCTAATTAAATTTCAAGAGAAAATTAAAAAAAAGAACAAGAATTTTAACTAAAGATACTATCAAATTTCAAGCTTGCTAAATAATTAATTAATTATCAATTCAGATCTTTTGCCACTCCACCTGAACCGGTACAGATTGTTTCGGAATGCGTCGCGATTCTCCGAGGTGTCAAGGACATATCCTGGAAGGGAGCGAAGGGCATGATGAGTGATCCATTTTTCTTGAAGAACTTGCAGGAGATGAATTGTGATCAGATCACTCTGAAGCAGCAGCAAGCGGTACGGGCGCATTTGAAGAAGACAGACAAGTTGGATCAAATGCAGGTCATCAGCAAAGCGGGATACGGTTTATACAAATTCGTGCTTGCTGTTCTGGATTATTGTACTGTTTATAGAGAGGTATTCATAAAATTTTAGTCGACAATTCATTTACTAATTTTTATTTAAACTATGTTTATCCCTCCCTTATTCTTTTTTATTTTTTGTTGTTTAATAATTTACCTCTTGTCACGATTATTTTTTAATAGATAAAAATTTTATGTTAATTCTCACGCTAATAATTTGTTTTTAATTTGCAATTTCAGGTAAAGCCAAAGATCGACAGAGTTCAGGAACTCGAAGAAGAATCCGAAAAAGCTAGGCGTGCGATAGAAAAGGAAGAACGGGAATTAAAGCGACTGGAGAAAATGATCCAAGAGTTAAATGCGAAATACGATGCCGCGATGGCCGAGCGACAGAATCTTCAGGACGAAATGGATTTGTTGCAACGACATTTCTTCGCTGCCGATAAGCTTATCTCTGGATTGACTTCCGAGAATGAACGATGGCAGAAGGATCTGGAGATTCTTCAAGATGACATGGAGAAAATCACCGGAAATTGCTTGCTCGGAGCAGCATTTCTGGCTTACAGCGGACCCTTTTCATATGAGTTCAGAAATGAGATGTACAACGACTGGCAGAGAAGCATTCTAGATAAGAAGTTGCCATTATCAAAGCTTTTCAAACTTGAAACACAACTGAGCGACGATGTTGAAATCAGCAAGTAAATGAGACTGCCGCATTTGATTATAAAATAGATATACAACTATATATTACATCACAAAATTAAAAGATATAATTAAATAAATAAAAGTGTTTTACAATGTTTTACAATTTTTATTTTATATCAGTTAAAATTAAAATTTTAGAATACCAGAATTTAAAAAATTTTTTTAATGTTATGCAAAAACATTTTAACAATCATTTGCAAATGAAACTGAATGATTTCTTCTATTTTTTTCTAACAGCTACATTTATATAATCTGGCAATGCAATAAAGTCTAGCATCTTTAATATTTATGACGTTTATAATTTGAAGGTGGAATTCAGAAGGTCTCCCTCCAGATGAACTATCTGTGCAAAATGGCATACTGACTATGAAAGCATCCAGATTTCCGCTTTGTATCGATCCTCAGCAACAAGCGTTGAATTGGATTAAGAAGAAAGAACAGAAAAAGTATCTGAAAATACTCTCCTACACTGATGCGGATTTCTTGAAGCAAATTGAATTGGCGATTAAATATGGCCTACCTGTGCTTGTTCAAGATGCCGACGAGGTCGATCATATTTTGGATAACGTTTTATCGAAAAATATTCAGAGTAAGTTATGAAAATAAAAATTTCTTAATCGGTATAATCGTAATTTGTAAAAATAATTCTAAAAAAATTATTCTGACTATTGATCCGTAGCTGTAGCGGGACGAACTTTCGTTATTGTCGGCGACAAAGAGATAAATTATGATCCACAATTTCGAATATATTTGACAACGAAAATGACCAATCCAATGTTAGATCCTGATTTGTATGCTAAGGCAGTCGTCATCAATTATACGGTTACCACAGCAGTGAGTGAATTGTTGATATTCTATAATTATTGATTGTAAATTGTTATATATATATATATATATATATATATATATATAATAATATATATTAATAAATTTATTAAAAAAGTAATAATCTTTCGGTAGCTTAACAATTATTACGAATATAGATATCCCGAATTCAACTTTCACATAATAAATTCTCACAAAATGTTTCTCTCTAGTGTTTAGAAAATCAACTTCTATCAGTTGTGGTAAAAATCGAAAAACCAGATATCGAGGAGCAACGTGAAACACTGATCATGGAGACGAGCGAAAACAAGAATTTGTTGCAGCAATTGAAAGATAATCTTCTACGTGAGATCGTTACGAACCAAGGCAGCATGCTGGATAATATCGAACTGATTGAGACTCTGGAGAACATCACGTCAAGCGTCAACGAGATGAAGACCAAGCTGTCGCTCGCGGAGATTACTTCAGCCGACATAAATAAACTTCGCGAAAATTATCGTCCGGTGGCACAACGAGGTGCAATTCTGTTCTCTGTATTGATTGACATGGCTACTGTGAACGCTATGTATCAATATTCTTTGATCAGCTATGTCGAAGTGTTCATTCACTCGCTGAAGAGATCGCTGCCAGATCCAGTGCTTGCCAAACGACTGGAAAACATAATTCCGATGTTGACAAAGAATGTCTATAATTATGTCTGCACTGGCATTTTTGCGCGGCATAAGCTGCTCTTTTCCTTACAAATTTGTTTAAAAATAGAGCAAAGTATGGGCAATGTGAATCAAAAACAGCTGGATTTCTTCGCCAAGGGCAGTGTAACTCTGGAAAAATCATCAAAATCGAATCCCATCGAGTGGTTGTCATTATCAGGTTGGGAAGATGTTCTCAAATTGGCAAGTGATTTCCCAGAGAAGTTTGGACAGCTTCCAGAAGAATTACGAGACCACGAGGATGAATGGAAGAAGGTAAAAATATGGTACTTATTTGAATAATTTTTATATTTTAGCACAAAATTTGAAAAATAATAATTTTAATATTTAAAAGTATTTTTATTCTCTTTCACAAATTCAGATATAAAAAATATTTATTGTTATTAATTATTTCATAACATTTTAAAAATTTCACACAAGAAATTTTCCAGATAAGAAAGAAAGAAATTTCAAATAAATTTTGAATTAAGTCATTATATTTTATGAGAAAAACAAGAATTATTTTAGAATGCGGAATAATTAATTATTCATTTCAGTGGTACGACTCGGATTCGCCAGAATCGGAAGAACTTCCATGTGACTATAGCATGCGATTGACATCATTCGAGAAGCTAATGCTGATGCGCTGTTTTCGCGTGGATCGCGTTTATTGCGGCATTACTAATTACATTACTGAGATTATGGATGAACAATATATCACGCCGCCTTACATGAGTTTTGATATGATTTTCGAGGAGAGTACATCCACTATGCCTGTAATCTTCATTCTGAGTCCGGGTTCGGATCCCACGTCGGAGTTAATGAAGTTAGCTGATCGATATGGCTACGGCGGAGGAAAATTCATACATCGTTCATTGGGTCAGAATCAAGACAAGGTGAGATAAAAAATACATAATTGGATAAAATTTACGTTTGGCATAAAGATTGACCCGATTGACCCAATAACAATGAATAATTTAATGCATTTTGAAAATGACAATATTTAATTTCTTGCGTCTTGAAAACATTTAATTTATAAAGATTATTATTATTATTATTGTTTGTATAATAGATCGCGATGGAATTATTGGAAGCAGCAATGACGAGAGGCCAATGGCTGATGTTGCAAAACTGCCATTTGCTGTTATCTTTCATAAAGGATTTAGAAAAAATCGTGGAGAACATGGAGAAGCCTCATCCTGATTTTCGCTTATGGCTTACCACAGAACCTACTCCTAATTTTCCAATCGGAATACTCCAACAATCTCTAAAAGGTACAGCAAAAATATGTGATAGCTGCATTTCTCGAATGACGATGCTCGTTTCTAGTGGTGACGGAACCGCCGAGTGGATTGAAGCTAAACTTGCAGAACACATACTTCAAAATGCGACCGCAGCTCTTGGAAAGTTGCCCTCATCCTCTTTACAAGCATTTAATTTACGTTCTAGCATTTTATCATGCAGTTATTCAGGCAAGCGAATTTAACGTGATCATGCACTTGATTTTCCGAGAAATTTTGATAAAGGATTCTCAACATTGTAGGAGAGAAGAAAGTATGACAAAATTGGATGGAACGTACAGTACGACTTCAACGAGTCAGACTTTAATGTGTGTATTAGCATCTTGGACACTTATTTGACAAAGGCACTGGCAACAAAGGAATCTAGCGTACCGTGGAATAGTCTCAAGTATTTAATTGGCGAAGTACGTTCTGAATTCTCTCTCTGTGATTTAAATCTGTTTTAAGATTTTATTTGATTTAAATATTTAATGGTTTTTTTATTATCATTCATTTTCTCGACGTAAATTTTCAACACATTTCATCGTGTTTTATGATCGAAAATAATTAGGTGATGTATGGCGGAAGAGTGATTGACAGTTACGATCGTCGCGTCTCGCACACGTACATGGATGAATATTTCGGTGATTTTCTCTTCGACGAGTTTCAGCCATTTCATTTTTACAAAGACGAAACGGTCGACTATGTGATACCGCCGGAGGGAGATCGTAATGATTACTTGAGATTCATTCAAGAGCTTCCGCTGGTAAATAGCCCGGAGGTGTTTGGGTTGCATCCAAACGCCGAGATTGGATATTTCACGAAGGCGGTTAAAGGAATGTGGAGACATCTCATTGAAATTCAACCGCAAACTGGTGCGACTACATTATCGTATTTTGCTTCTTCATCTTATCAAATATTATTTTTAAAAAACCAATTAATTCAATCACACAACAACAAAATTAAGACATTCTCAAATGCACTGAGATATAAATTTTCAAAGTAAGAACTGAATTTGCAAAGTTTAAAATAGATTTAATTAAGTATTAAACAATTCAAACTAATAAAGAGTTATATATCTTTATTTTATCCATAAAAGATCTAAATCATATTCGGCAATAACAAATTCTTAATTTTATTATGAAAAGCTATTTAAAAGTTTAGTTAGATAAAAAATTACATTAACAAATTTATTTTTCGATAAATTATGTTTTACATAACAACATGTTGAATTTCTAGTCGAGGACATTGTCGGCATCAACAAGGATGAATTCGTCGATAATGTAGCGAAAGAGGTCTTGACCAAGATACCTGCGCCATATGATATTAATAAGGTCAAGATAAATTTTGGCGTGGCCGTGACACCGACCGCGATCGTTCTATTTCAAGAATTGGAGAGATTCAACAAATTGATAGAAACGATTACGAGAACGTTGAACCAACTGAGGAAGGTTAATAAATCAGAATACTCTCAATCCATCGTACATAAATTTAACGATCTTGCATAAGATACATCTTTTATCTAAATTTTTACATCAAATTTTAATTTATTAAAATTATTTTAATTATTTTATATTATAGATTCTCAAAAAAAAACGAGTTTTGGATTTCTCCTGATGTATTTATGATATTCACTTTTTTTTGCATTTTTTATTGCAACACTTAAATCCACTTCTTTAGTTCCGCCAGAGACTATCTGCCAAGTTTATCAAATTAGAAATGCATCTGATATTCAAAATGAAATGATGCATAGCTTTAATTGTAGGCGATCGCCGGCGAAATTGAGATGGACGCAGTGTTGGAGAACATTTCCGTGGCACTTTATAATGGTAGTCTACCCAAAGAATGGGCGAAATTGGCACCAGACACGCGAAAGAATCTCGCCGGCTGGATGGACCACTTTCAGAAGAGGATAGACCAATATACAAATTGGGTACGATTGAACGAAACCTCACGAAATTATCGCAATTATTTCTCCGCGATTCTGCGTATTTTACTTTAATGTAGTGATTAATAAATTTCTTCGCTTTGTTCTCCCGTTAGTCCGGTGCGAACGAACCCGTGGTGCTCTGGTTGTCCGGATTGCATGTTCCGGAAACTTATCTGGCGGCTTTAATGCAAATGGCTTGCCGCAAAAACAATTGGCCCCTCGATCATTCCGTTGTTTACACAACGGTGTCCAAGTTCTCTAGACCTGACGAGGTAGAAGAAAGACCTGATCAGGTTATTTCTAGCGATATTTGTTATTTCATCTTACGATGCGTTCTATTAGAATCATAGTAATATACTTTGCCATCCATATTTTATTTTATTATACATTATTTATTTTATTTTATTATACATTATATACATTATTTTAAACAGGGATGTTACGTGTATGGATTATATTTGGAAGGCGCTAGATGGGACATCGAGGAGCGTCGTTTAAAAAGATCACATCCGAAAGTTCTGATAGAAAAGCTGCCAATATTAACTATCATACCTACTGAAGTTCATAGACTGAAGTTACAGGTAGTTCCTCTATTGATATTTTTTCTTAAAAAAATTTTCTAATCGAAATTTTCTAATCGAATTTTCTAATTCAAATAGCCATCCATGTTTCCAAGTAATTTTCAATTTTTGTGGGAAAATTCCGGAAATTGATAAAATAATATGAATAATTTATAAATGAATATTATTGTTACAGAATACGTTTAAAACTCCAGTATATACCACATTGAATCGACGAAATACTCTCGGTGTTGGTTTAGTGTTTGAAGCAGATTTAGCGACTCCGGAACATATTTCGCATTGGATACTTCAGGGTGTTTGTCTAGTGTTAAATATAGATTGAAATAGTAAAAAGTTCAAGAACTGCTACAGTCTTCAGTAATTCATGTATTAATAGATTTACTATTAATTATACTTGTAATATAAAAGCTAACAACCATTAAGCTATTTTTGATTGCCATAATCTTAAGAGCCATGATAATAATTCTCTGAATTCTATATCATACAAAAATAAAATAGAGGAAGAAAAGACAAAAACTATTGGATTGATATTTGATTCTTTTTAATATCAACTAAATATAAAATTATAATTTCCAAAAAATAGATACTCATTATTTTGTATAAATAATATATTTGATATTATTTATTATCCAATCCTCGACATTTGAGCTGAGGCAAACATAGATTATAAAATGAACTATCGACGAAGTTATTCAGATTTTGCCACTTCACCCATCGATCTCTTTTTAAGTGCTCCGAATTTTTGGCTTTTCCAACAAAATGTGGATCTACAATTAGCAAATACACACTTCCATTATTAATATGTAATCCTACAATACACTTGCTAGAACAGTCCATGTTTCCACCCATCATGATTGGACTGCCAAATTGTTCGAAATGCTTTTTAATGTTATCCACTTGATTAATCAACTCCTTTCCACTGGAGACATGGATTATTTTGCTAAGAATTTCATACAATTGATTTAAAACAATGGATACCTATAAAATATTTGAAAACATCAATCCTTATTAAACTGGTGTGTGTGTGTGTGTGTGTGTGTGTGTGTGTGTGTGTGTGTGTGTGTGTGTGTGTGTGTGTGTGTGTGTGTAAGGAATTAACCAAAACTTACTTCAAAACTTCCTATCCATTCTCTTGACCCAATAAAAGTTTTGTCTTTATCCTCCACCGCAACGAGAGTCTCTTGTATTTCATTAATGCTTGGAACATTTTTTTTTAAATTTTTATTATTTATAATCCATGAACAGATGGTTTGTAATGTCCTATATCCACATCCCCAACCCTGAATAGATATGAATTGTATATTTATTTTAATGAAATTTAAAATCATGTAAAATTCTAACTGGTTATTGTTAATTAAGGACAATCACCCGGTCATTGAAACCATCGCAACCATAGTGCCAATATTCATAATCTCCTTGAACTAAGAATGTTTCACCATTGTCTGGTAATGCTAAATTTTCGTGAACGTTTTTCAATAAATTATGAGAATAATTAACTGTCATTCTTCTCACTTGTCATTAGAAAAGCCTAGATAAATACAATAATTACACATAGATAAGAATATATCTATTAAATAATTATTGATCTTAGTAATTAATAAATTTAATACTTAGAAATTTATTATTAATTGACAATTTATATATTAACTCATAATTGAGACATATCACATTTATAACAAATTATATTTATTGACACTATTACTATTCATTAATAACTTTTTAATAAATTTATACAAACAAATAAAAGTCAGAATATTAAATAATCCATAATTAGGATGATCGTAAAGTATTTATATTATAAATCACTTATAAATAGGTTTTTATTTCCCGCTGATAAACATCGCCTAACTTCACTGCTGTCAACTGGCCGTTACCTAACCTATACGCGCATCCACCAACACGAGAAATCCACAAATCAGATACTAAATTAAAACTATTTTTTCGTTTGGTCTCACAAAAACAGAAGTACGTTGAAAATGATCGAACTATCGGCTTTCCATTTATTATTAATTAGGAATCAATACGGAATCTAATGAAAAGCGAATCGCGAGCGTCACCCTGTCAATATGCTGAACGACGCTTTCGCGTTGCGTGATTGTGCAAGGGGATTTAATCGTGAATGCAGAACGATGAGAGAGGGGGATAGGCGCGCGAGTTTCGATATTCGCGATTGAATCCTCGATATTCCGTCCTCGGGCTTCTCCAGTGGTTCGCGCGGGGGTTTAATTAACTCAAGGTTAACTAACGAGGGCGAGCGCTAGGCATGGCTAAGCACCGATCGGTAGAACGGGCAGTGGGATTTCGTAGCAAAATGATTGAGGTGCACGAGAGCGTGCAACGATAGAAGGGAAACGGACTGGGGAGAGGGAAGAGAGAAGGAACGAAGGAGAGAGAGAGAGAGAGAGAGAGAGAGACGGCGAGTGAGGCGAACACAAACTAGAGAGGGAGAGAGAGAGAGAGTCGAGGGAGAGCGGAGCAGACATTGGACTGAAAAGGCGGAAGGAGAATCGCGAAGTACGCGTCCGTCACGCACCGAGTGTTGCCTCGGCTGGCTGGAAGCGCGCCGTTTTCCAGGGGAAGAGAGAAAGAAAAATGAGAGCGACATTCTTGTACTCGGTAAGCCGATTAGCAACGGTCGTCTTATCTAATTAGTTAAGTCAGTTACGGGCCGGGATCATCGCGCGACCGAACGCCTCCGTTGCGTCGAGCGATCGTTTGACAGCTACACAATAGCCAGCTATTTATCGATTTTTTTCCATCGTAATATCGACCACGGGACCCGTGCTGTCGTCCGGGAGGACCTTGGAAGCGTCGGCTCGATCGCGATCTTCGTCGCCTGTCGCTTCCGCGGTCCGTCGCGAGATCGGAAACGTCGCGGATTGTCGACGACACGGAGTGTTCCTTCGAGGTTATGTTTGTTGCTCGATATCGCAATGTTGCTTTAATTGCTCACACGTACCGTGATCTCCCCCGATCGACGTGTCAGCCGCGGGTCGCACGAGATAACGCGAATTTACCCAACTGTGTTAATTTCGTTCGAGTCGTATTGAGTCATCCCACTCGGGCATCTCTGGCTTGATAGATGCGATCCTCTTCGTCGTTCTGACGTTTCTTTGCTTCCCATCCAGTGAAACTATAAGAGGAGGATACGGCGCTACGCTTCAGAGGGTAGGAAATGTACGGCGCTGAGAGGGAGGAGGTGTCGGAAAGCTGGCTGCATACGTATGACCTGAGCAGTACTATGATTCCCAATGCGAGCGCGGCGATGGACGACGAGGAGCACTTCTGCAAGCTCATTTTGTACAAGGAAATCAAGGAGTCCAGGTAGGAGCATATTGCTACATGACAATAAACCTTCTATCGGATTGCTGATTTTAATTTTTATTTTGTTCTATAGGGTGCGAATATGGGATGTCATCATTCTGATACCAAATCTCCTGTTTCTCCTATTTATCGCGATGCGATTCAACAGAGCGAGGCTTAAGTTACGTGCAACGAGTAGCCCAATATTCTTAGCATTTTATGGTCTGGTCATTTGTAATGTAGTTATCTCAGTAGTGCGATGTGTTGTATCGATGACAGTGAATGCAGCGGCGACGGTTGGCGGCAAAGCTGACAAGGTCCTATGGGTTACAGTGCGATTTTTTTTACTGTCTACCGAGATGAGTGTGGTTATATTTGGTCTAGCGTTTGGTGGGTATAAAATGTTAAAAAAAAGAAAAATAAAAAGATAAAAGTATCTGTTAATGAATTTATTCCTCTTCCTCTTTCAGGTCATTTGGACAGTCGCTCCAGTATTCGTAGAGTATTACTCGCTACGTCCCTTATAGCACTGGCATTCACGATCACTCAAGGGACATTGGAGCTGGTCCTGCCGGACGATACCTTTCATATTCCCAGTCGCGACTTTTATGTATTTGGTCACGGCGGCATGATGTTTTGGTTTTGCAGCAGTCTCGTTTTCACAACGGTAGGCTTATATGCTGTTTGCTTACCCGAAAAAGTCGACACGTTTCACTAAGCATGTCGATCGCTTTTAGATATATCTCTTCATATTAATACTGCCATGGACACGATTGCGAGATCGCCTAGCACTTCCTAGTAAGTAGTTCTTGTCGTGAAAATTACAGTGCTTTGATTGCCAATTGCGATTTTTATATAATACGCTTTTTATTGCAGCACGGAAAAGCTTTTATGTTTATGCTGGAACGCTAGCGACGTTGGATTTAGTGCAATCAATCGGTGCAGGTTTTCTAAACTACACGCAAAATCCAGTGGGATTATGCATCGTAGACTTCACTGCGGCAGTATATTTAACTCTTTTTACTCCTTTGGTTTATCATACATTCCTATCAGAATTCTTCGGGTAGGTTATTGCTGCTCAGTAGTATATAACTCGCAACAATTGTCCACGCAGAACTGATACATTTTGAAAATTGTTCTGTTTTAGGATCTCGCAACCTTCGATAATGTTTTCTTATAAAGCACAAGTGGACGACGCCATGGACGAAGACACAGTGTCCTTACCGCATCAACAGAGTTTTTCATCCTTGAAAACCGACAGCGATTACATCTATCAGGTCCATACTCCTTCTATTCACATACCGCTGTACGATTCCCAAGCATCAAAATTTTCCAGACCGAGAGCTTCTCTTTATTCCTTAACATCCGCTAAAGATCCTAAAAATAATGACACCAGTGCTTTCGGTTCACCAGTTAAACCGTATTGTTCAACGTCCGGTATTAGAAGCTTCGGTACCAGCATTTCCAGAGATCTCAGCACAGAAAAAGGCGTCTCGAAAGTGGTTGATTATTCCTTGGCCAAGTCCGCCGCCATCCAAAAGAGCGTGCCAGATTTAAGACTCTCCAGCCCGATCCGAAAAGCCATTCCTGTTAAATATGACAGTCCTGGTAGCGTCTCAAATTTACTTCTCTCGACCGATACCGCTAGTAACTTTTTTTATAGACCGAACGCAATTGACAGCAATGTCAATCTATTTTCTCAAACGAGGAAAAGTAGCTTAGAAAGTATATCGCATAAATCAAATGTAGATCACGCGATTGTGGTTGAAAATATTTCGCGGGGACTCGATAGCTCCTCAGAAGTATCTCAAATTCCAGCGTTAGAAAACACCTTACAGTCCATTCTGGAGAGCGGGACACACGAAATTGAAATGGAAAATCCCCAAGAATCTCGATTAAAAACAATAAACATCGATAATTTAATTGAAAGTGATACTGCTAATGTAGATTCAAAATATTTAACAACGTCATTCGGTACCAAGATTTTTAAAACTTACTCGGACGAAACGTTAAGCGGTTTACCCGATAGTTCAAACGTCACGCAACGATTACTTCCTAGATCGACTTCCTTTTGTACAACCGGTGGGTATAGAAAAAATAAGAATGTTTCGAAGGGAGGAGAATCGGGCGGTTTAAGCGAATACCTATTATCCATAACATCTCCGAGATCTGTAAAATACAAAAAGAGCGAAATTCAGCAAGATCCTAATCCCTCCCAAGATTCAGACCTCTATACGCAAACTGAATCTTTGTAAATAGCTTATTTATATATCGCTGCAATCGGCTCACTGTATTTGTACATATCGTAGATAAGCTCGCAAATTTTACGTTGATTTTGTTAATTAATCCCCGTGCATTATAACACGTATGGTAAGGTACCGTTTGAAAGCTTTCTAACTGTAAATATCTCAGCATTTTAGAAACATCGTATAATTAAACGTACTTATGTAGTCAATGCACTTGGTTTCATTTATTTACACTAACTTTGGGCAATCTCCCTTGGCACTCTACTGCCTTTTTACAAATGAAATCTCAAACATATTTTCAACCGATATTTCGTTACGCGTGCAATGTGCACTGCTATATTTGTGCTTTAATGTTATAATAGTACATGCAAAATTCAATGTTTTGTTGTTGCAAAGTGCTTTTGGCTTGATTATCGCAGAATTTGTCGATATCTATGTATTTTTCCAATTTTCTATATAAATGCTGTTACATGTTAAATATATACAAAAACATAATCTTACATTAGTTTTAAAATAATTTTTTATGCTGTTCTCATATGACAATCATGTTAAATAACAAAGCGAGAAATTACATGAGTTATTTCGACAAAAAAGATCATGTGACTTCTCGTTTTTGACATCGTAATTTCACGTGATTGCAGTGAGGAAGCAGAGTCCTAATTAATTGATTAGTTGATTAGGAGTCTGCCTCGATGAATACAATGCGGAATGTTCTTTTTCTTTTACAGAATCACAGTGTTTATGATTCGACCCAGTTCGACACGAATGCTACACCAATCAACCCGCTCTACGCGGCGTCTCTTCAAAGTCCAGATAGTATTACCGGTTACAGTATAGATAGTCAAGAAACACCGAATCCGCCGAATAGTTATCAACAATGAACCATTGCTCATATCAAGTTCAGGATACGCTGTAAAACATATATAGAACGAATCTGGATACGAGTTATTCGATGGTCAAATTGCAATTTCGTTAAGAGCCTCGTGTGAGAGCCTCTCTAAATGAGGTATTGGTGGTCACCTTCCTTCGGAAAGAGTGCATCGCGCGAGAAATTTGGAATCAGAATGAAGTATCGTGAGCCGATGGAAGGATTCTAGTCGCCCTTAACTATTTCGAGGGCCGCGTAATGTATTTAAATATGGATAAATACGAATGCTTTCGGTCTCCATGTGATAGTTGGCGTCAATGCCCAAATTGTGATTGCGAAAACGCTGGAAGAAGTCTCTCGCAAAAAAAAAAACACGGAATCTCCAGTTTAGCTTTAGTTTGCTTTACTTAGGACAAATTCTCGAAAAATGATTAGGAATAGGAATTAATTCATATTAGTTTTATACTTAGATTTTTGAATGTTAAGCGAATTTTTACTGCACGTGAAAATAGAATTTCTTTTTCGCAGTGTTACGCATTTATCTCAGAATACAAGACGTAGGTCATTCTAGGATTCGCATACTAACTTCCTGACTAACACTTTATTTACTATGCTCTCTCTCTGTCTCTCTCTCTCTCTCTCTCTCTCTCTCTCTCTCTCTCTCTCTATTTATTTTAAATATATTTTTAACTCTTAATTTATTTAAAGGTCAGTATTAAAGATCAGTGAATAAAAATAATAAAATTTATATCTCTACATTAATTTATTTAATTATCGATTAATTAATATATGCGATTTTTAGAATGTCCTATACACGCATCAGTAATATCATCATCATCGCGAGGTATCATCCCCGTTAACAAACGTTGTCGTTTTGTATTGAGACTCGCAGGTTAGTGTACCGGAGCCGTCGTTTCCTAATAAGATGAACAAAAACACTTAGATTTAACTTTTAAAACTTGCTTATCGTTTCTCCGTCCTTTTCATCAAAGTGGACGTCGTCGTATCGCTCGAAAGTCCTCGTCATGCGCGAAGCGACGCGCAAAACGACAAGCCGGACACTCGCTATTTTCTTACTTTTGCATCGAAAATCATTAGGTCGATTAAGGGACAATAGGAGTCATTAAAGTTAAACGTCGCGCGGAGATAATTTTTAGATTTAAGGGAAAAAAAACTCTTCAATGCTCCAATAATTACGAAGACTCCATCCACGATGTATATACATGATCTGTAATTCTAGTGTAAAGGATCGTACTATTTATATATCTTAATATATACACATTATATATATACATATATTTATCGATATATTACGTATCTCCGTAATTAAATTCGAACAAATGGCAGATCTTAAGATACTTGCTCCTGTGCTGCCCGCATTTTTCACCTGACGGATGTTTATCTCGCGCAGGAAAGAAAGAAGAGGGAATACGAAAATTAGCATCATAAAATCATTGAAGTATCCGCTAAATCGAAGATGCATTCATGAGGTTGTAACGTAGATTCCTCTGCTTTTCCATGTGAATTAGAGGAAAGAAGGAATCCAGGCGAACGGAAATTAATAGTGATATAAACGTAACTTATTTTCTAGCGTAAATTCGTTCAAACTTGTATATACGGAACGGTATGTATGGAACAGTGTTACACGATGAGTCTTTCTCTGTCAATTGCAATTGCTTTTTACCATCTCTGACTGTCCGTCACCCTGCACTCACCACGAACGTTACCTGCGATCGTCTGACCGTGTGTGATTCTTTTATAAGCATCGAGTGCAGTGTATAAGGCAATATTGTGACTGCGTCATATAGCTATACCTAATTTTAAAAAAAGGTGAAATAAATATGAGTAACAATTCACAACGTATGTTTTCTTAAAAATCTTAACCGATCTCATTATCCAAATGATAAATATAAATTTACTATTTGTCATATCCTATTACGAAAAGCTCATATTTGATTCAATCTATAATGAAATCTGCATCGTAACAATATAAAAATAAGAATCTGTTAGATGTATATTATGAAAATTTGACAAACTCAATAGAATTATATTACTTCAACGAAATGAAAAATTTTTTAAATTTTATAATCGCATAAAATACGAATCAATTTCATTCTCCTATAAAGAGAAGTAGAAATGTTAGTTATACGAGCATTTGTTAGATGGCGAAGCGAGTGTATCTAAAACAAAACTTGCATTAATTTACTTCAAAAGAAGATTAGAGCATAAAGAGAATAATCATCATATCATACATAAAGAGAATAAGAAAATGATTTATTACAAAGCGTAAGATTATAGTGTAGTTTTACAATATCTGAATGGGAATGTTGGAGAAATTATTTTTTTTTTAAGTGCAACGCGCAGCCTTCGCAAAGTACCAGTTTTAAACCTCTCGAAAATTCTAGACGTGCAACGCGACGTACGTGAATATTATTAATCAATAAAGTCTTCAGTATGTATCGAGAGATCGTTGACTCGTGTTGCTTTGCGCATTGATCACTATACTTGACGTCACGAAAATCTTTCTCTTTGCATTAAACTCGGTCAATGGCGTATGTTATCCAACGAGATTCGATGTAAGATTATGCTCACGGTGTGTCAAACTTGAAATCTGTAGGTCCAGCGTAATTCGCAGATAAATATTCCTCCACACGAATAGTTTTTTTCAACATTTTTTTCACGATATAATGCAATGCAAATAATTGGCAAGAAAGGCGCGAATTAAAAAACAAATAATTCTTTATTCATAAACGCACATGCACACACACACACAATTATTGACCAGTTTAAAACTTAGATTATATTTTAAAACAAATTAATAAAATTTTTTTATGAAGATATATTAATTTTACAGCCCAAAATTAAGTGTATTATATAAGCACTTATATAACAAGAGAGAAAGAAACTCAACACATTTTTATTTAAAATATAATATTAATAATTACGCAGGCTATACAAAAATGGATAGTTGACCAGATTCGGTCTACGAATCATAATTTATTTATAGTTTATTCTTATTCTCCATAGATTATTCTCTCTAAAACCTCATCTTGTTTTTTTTTCACAACTTTGATAGCAGGAAAGGATAAAAATCCCAAATCTTGCGTACCACTGCATCACTGGACGTGAAAGTTCGAAGTACATCGGGATCTATAACAAGAAGAAGACTAACGTAAGAAACAATTTGTTTTCCACAAGTCCATTTAGAAATATTAAAGATAATCCTTTCACAATCTTAATTGACCTCAATTATACGCGCATACTCAAACTATACATGCAGCATCCGGTAATAAAATAGATTCCGTCTGCATTAAAAAGCAGATGTCCAAGTTTCATAACAATCGCTCTTCGCTACGGCGCGGAAGGCTTACGGTTCACGCCGTCCAAATTGTATAGTCGTTAGATCGTCAGGGTCAATTTAGATTTGTTTACTGACTGTCAGTGCGCAAGTATTCCCGCAGGGGCCCGCTCAGCGTGGTGGCCGGCACCGCCAAGCTCATCCGCGGGTAGAGCACGTTGCCGTCCGAGGAGACCACGTTGCATACGACTATTCCCAGCATGTCGCCGGTCACTCGGCTGACGATCGGCCCGCCGCTGGTACCACTCTGGACGCAACAGGTCGTCAGGAGCGCGCAGTCCATCGACTTGGAGACCACGCCGCCGCTGATGGTCGGCCGGATGGTTGAAGAAAAGGGAAATCCTATGGAGACCACCGGCTCACCTGCGAAAGCATATGAGGCACGCTTATTATAATTCAGAATGCTGCATCTGTGACAAAACCCCAGGTACTTTAAATATAATTATTTTTTCACTGTCTATGTCTATTATTATAATAAAAAAAAAGTTCGAAAATGATGATTTTGTCAATTTTGTTAATGTATATTTTTAAATTTAATTTAAAATTCTTAAAATCCTAAAGATTTCACATTTATGACTTAGGTTTTCAGATTAACTGAGCTTTATCGACTATATGATTGGTCTTCATTAACTTAATTACTTTTATATGTTTTTTATTAGCGTTTAAATGCTAGTTTAAACATTGTAATGCTGTTTCAAATGAAAAGTGTTTTGTTTAAAATTAAAGATTTGAATTTGAAAAATAATAGTCTCAAAGAGATTGATATTAATGAACGATTATTAGCTTCGTTAAATGACTGCTTTACGATTTGGATATCAACGTAATTCTATTTCTGAGAGGCAGATATTTTTGAAAATTCTACGTCGCAAACAATATAACATGGTCAATAAAAGCGAAACTCTTATCGAACATGTGGTAATGGACTTTTATTGCGATCAAATAAATAGGTTGACTTATGTCGTTTTCCAAGTTAGAAGAAAGAGGGAAATATCAATTTCACCCTCAATCGACAATCAATTGACCTAATTTTTCAATTATACACTATTTCTGTCCCAATGAAAGAAGGTCAATGTCCGTGACGTTAAGACGCCAGGAAACCGTTTGACACGCTGCTGGATATGCCGCTAATTTCCTCCTATTACGAGAAAACTGCGAGGGTAAGTCTCGATAAACTATCTGTTGTTCCAAACAATTTCAAGTGACTGGAATTACTAACTACGTTTCGCTTTCGAGTCTTTCGATGAAGTCAACGAATAAAGATAAAATCGACAACGCGAAATATTTACCCTTTAAAATCGGAGCATCTGATAATCGTATTGGTCTTAACCAGGGATCCACGTCTTGCGAATCCACCTTCAATACAGCAATGTCATAAGGTTGATTCTCCGGAGTTCTGTACAACAGTTTCGCGTTGACACGTGAATTAGGCTCGTTCGTTCTCATTACAATGGATATCTCCCTTTCTGGCGCCTGTTAGAATTTCATTCAGTCATAATCTTGTCGCACATAACAAGTGTACCATTCCATAATACATCGTCACAGTTTATTATAGATAGAATAAAGTCATTTTGTGTTGCGTGCTAAAACATAAGTACCTCGTATATTTTATTTTTTACTTTCACGTAGATATTGAATCGTGTATGCCTGTATTATGTCTTTGAATTTTATGTAAGAATTTGATTTTTACCTCCGCGACGACGTGCGAGCACGTCAGGAATGTACCAGTATCCTTATCCACGAGGACACCCGTACCCCAATTAATTCCGCATCTAACAAGCACAACGCCTCTATCTAATGCTGTATGAAAAAGAAAATGACGTTACACGCGTGCGTAACAGAATGTAACAGATAATAACAGAAGATAACATTTATTAACGAACCATCTGCATCTTCGTAGTATGCGTGATCCATGATCGAAGGACGAGAAAGATCCTTTTTCCGCAGAATGTTGAGCAAACACGGTGTAAGATTGGCGGCGAAGGTGTAATCTACCCATTCTCCGCGACACCAGCTCAACGGCGCGATCACCATTCCGCTGATAATTCTACTTTTGCTTAAAAAAAAAAAAAAAAAATAACAATCTGTATCGTATCGAGAACATTTTTAATTCTTCTTCGTATTATTATTAAAAATAATAATTATTAATTTTTCTTCCTCTTATTAAACAATTTTAATAAGACGGAGGAATCAAATTGACTATCGACTTAATTTTTATTGAAATCTCTCCAAGAGAAATTTAAATTTCAAACTTGAAAAATTCTGCGGCTGCATCAATATAAATTCGAGTAAAAAATAAGATGAAAAGATGTTTTCTTTAGAACTTCATTATCCTCTTGAACAGTTCAAGGGGGGGGGGGCCTTTCAAGCGGGTATTTCCGTATAAACATACTGGGCTCTATATCGTCATAATTACCAATTCGTCGGGATGACATAAACGGGACCACCCTCACCACCGGGAAACGCGTACGCGTCCGTGGTGATAATACAGTCCTCGTCGCCAATGACGTTGCTGATAACGCCGCGCGCGATCGAGCCGATGAACACAGGATTGCTGAACGGCGTCGACTCGATTTCCACGGATGATCCGCGCGTATGATTCCGCGGAGTTTGATCCAGCAGACAAGACAGAGCTTGTTCGACCGTCGGAATTTCCACGACCGACTCATCGGAATCGTAGATACGTATGAGAAGGAAAATCGGTCGCAGCGATCGATCAAACTCGGTAGATTTGGGGAAGCTCCACGTTTTGAAGAACTCGTCGAAGGCCTTCTTCAGAAGTGGACACCACCAGGCAGCCACGATCGTGCCGTCATGTTCCTGAATCGCGCTCCGTCGAGACTCGTCATCGATCGCGAGTTCGCGATAGGCCCGGAATTTCAATTTGCTCGTGAGTTCTCTCGGCACCATCGAGAGTTCTCCCGGTATCATATTCATAATGAAACTGGAGATCACGCGGGATTTATCGATGATCGAGTCCAACGCAGCACCGTGTGTCAGTATCCATTCCTTCGAGATCGAAATGCCGGAGCATCCTCGTGGAGGTGTCAGTGGATCTTTGTCGATCGGTGAATGGAGTACAGTGCGCTGCTCGGAATGTTTTTCATCCTTTCCAACAATGCTGCAGACAAGAGAAATCGGAGTTCTTTAATCTATGAACTTGATATATATATATATATATATATATATATATATATATATAT